TGCAAGCTGACCCCTTAAAAATGTTGTAAACCAACTGTAATAATCATGTAATAACACTAGGGTTTTACTGATGGGATGTATTCAGTCTTTTTTTTTTTTCCTAAGACTTAATAAATTACAGAGTTCTCTAATATTAAGGATATTCCAGCTAACATTTAGCCAAATAAAACTTCATTAGTAAAAAATATATGGGTGAAATTCCATCTCCATTTAAGCAATCTGGAATTTTACCACAGACCTCAGTGGAGCCAAGGGAAGTCGATGATCACAGAAGTGGTTAAATAGCTTCAGTGAACTTTGAATTTTAACCCATGAATGAATTTGAGGTAATTACAGCAATTAAAGAAATTATTAAAAGTGATTTTTGGACTGAATTAATGGCACAATAGCTGCAATTGTTTTTAATGGAATAAATTAAGGACTACTCTTGGATTAACAGTAAATAGATGTCTCATAAAACAACTCTTATGGAGCTCTTCTGAGGCAAACAAAAACTGATAGGAAAAAAGAGAGTTCGAGTGAGAACACGATTCACACAAGTACTGGTTGAATTAACTTATTTTCATAAATTTACCACATCTTTAATAGTTATGAACAACTTTTTATGTCTGCATTTCTTATAGAATCCCACACTGCTAAAATCCCTCTTGCTTTTGTGTATTTGAAACGCATTTATGTCTTTATCGATTATCAACAAACACGTTTCTTTTTCTTACAGTATTTATGCACTGAACAATTCTTGTTATTTCTGGCACTGCTACTGCATATGTTACTTTCATAGGCAGAACATATGTTCTGCCCATAGCAGACATTATTCTTACACTCTTACATTATTAATGCCTTATAATGATGTCTTAGCATAACCTTGAATCATGTGCCTTACTATATCTGGGGTTTGGAAAAAAAATACTGAAGCTGTTACAATTCTGTTTATGTGCACCGGCACCAATATACATTTCAGGTACATTTTCAGTGGACTGATAGGCTGCACTGACTAAGAAGTCTTGCTGATCTAATAAAGATATCCTTATTAAGATATTATTATTATTATTATTATTATTAGGAGCACTCTTTGAAGTCAGCGAACTATGAAAACTCTGTACAAGTTTTGACAAGTTTGTGAGATGACAATATACTGAGCCAACCCTCCTATTGGACAAGTCGTAAAAACCAGCACACACATAGACACACGGCCTGTCTGTTCATTACAGCTTTGTTATTCTGCATTTCATAGATTTGTACGTATTGTGCCAATTCAAAGACCACCTATGAAACTGGAAAAGGAATGTGCATTACTTTACTGGGGCATGTCCTCCTGTGCTACATGAGCCTGCATAACAGGCATGCGGCTTTCACTCTGCACAGGAACACTTCCTCCTCTGGTACAGAACTATGCTTATTTTATGCTACCCCAGTATCTGTGTTAGAAACAAGTTTTATCTCCAATGAAGTTATCATCCTGTGTCAAATCAGAATTCCTTTAATCAGTACAGTGACTTGGAATTCTGCTAAAAAGAAACAAAGTGAAACCTTTAGGATTTGCCTGCAATATTATACAAAGAAATCCAAATAAGTGAGTTTTTTGCTCTTCAGGCAAACACCTCCTGCCCCAATAGTAGCGTGTTGGTGGAATTAATTGAAATTTTATCACAAATTCAGAACTCAGTGATAATCTCACTGAAGTTGATTTGATTTGGACTGTTAATCTGAGTGAGTGGAAATCAGTCGTGTATTTGTCTTTCTCTCATTATACATTGAATGGTATCACCTAGATTGCCATGAAACTTTACTATGGGTAAGCTGCAAAATGTGCTGCAACTGTTTATGCACCACTATGTACATTTAAAATAATTCATATCTCTAATGATGGCTTGGTCTTTCCAGCAGTTGCTCAAAAAGGCGTAAAAAGGCCAACATAGCAATGGATTTGGCCCTACTGACACAAAATATTTTCACATTTGTAAAACTGGTAAAAAAAAAGAGACTTGTAGAGTTTTCATCATGAACATACTGTTGCTTTTCTACAGCACTCTGGAGTACTACAGTCATTCACAGTTGTCACAAAAGTGGTAGACAAAGACCTATTCAAAGCCCAAGTAGTAAGGAGGTCACAGAGCACCCTATTTTTAATTCTGAAGCTTTTATAGTTTAAAAAGCCTATTTTAAAACTCAAAATCCAATGTATGCTTCAAAAAAAGAGAAGAAAAAAAAAAAAAAGAAAGAAAAAGAAGAACCATAGAACAATACTTTTCTAAGAACACATACTAGTTTCACTTTAAGATTATACCCTGTCCAGGTTGGAATACCTACTATTATTTGCTTGCACAAGAACAAAGATATTTCTGATTGTTTTCACCAGTTTTCTTATTACTACGAGAAAATACCCCCTCTTCCAACAATACTGAGTGCTATAGTGCACAATACAAAGGCTCAGTTCTCCATTTGACTTACTTTTCTGGTTTACCTAGGTGTTTCTGATTCTCTTTGGAATTCATACGCTAGAAGGTAAATTGACTGAATCAACCCTTCTAGTCAAGAAATGGTGAAAACCAACACACATAGACAGAGTCTGTACTTTTATCTCAACTAAATGAGAAATCCCTTCTTTAAAAAAAAATTCTGGTAGAGACAAACTGGTACATAGTGGTTGTGTTCAGACAATCAGCTTAGACCGAACTCAGCTAAACTATAGAAACTTAACTAAATACAGAATGGTTCTTTCAAGAAATAATAAAAATATACACAATAATATAAATATAAACAATATAAATAATGATAAAAACATAAATAATATAAAAATTATAAAGAAATCTGCAAACCAATCTATTGAGAATCATTAAAAACAAGACTGATTTTTTTCGAAGTCCTGGTAATCAGTGTTGATGAGGAAAGAAAAATCATCTCCCAGAACATTCATAAGTTACTTGATCTATGGAAAGATTCAAAAATCATCTTAGTGGGGGGAACTGAAAATTGGTGTAATTGTCACCAGTAAACTTAATCACTGCAGACTTAATGTGCTGAGGAAAAACTGTGATGGAATGATTAGCAAAATCCTTCCCTGAGGAAGGTACTACAGTCATGAGGAATTAATCAGGAAATGGGAGCTGTAACTTGTATGTCATGTCCAAAAGTTTCTCTTTGGGAACAGGAGAAAAAGCATCTCTAAACTAAATGATTTTTCTAATGCGATACCTATCATTTACCCTAATACACAGACAGGTAATGTGTTATCTCTCGTCTGTCAGAATGCACATCTAGTGATTGGAATACGTGTGAATCAAAGACAGGATTTAAGCAGAAATTGGTCTTTTGAGTTTATTTTATTTTGCTTTTAGTTTCTGACTTCTTGCCCTCAGTGAACTTGTCACCTGTGATCAGCGAATGATGTGACACACGTCACATAGTCATGACTTGGGACCTCCCCTCAGCTAGGTCCTCAAACTGATTTAAGGAGTTATGCAGACTTCCCAGGCAATATTTCACCTTGCTGTCCACTCAGCTCTGGTAGCTGGTATTAAAAGACATCTCTCAGTATCCCTCGAGGGACAGAAGAGAACTGTGAATTAATTTAACCTAGCAGTTCAATCTCTACAAACTTGCTACAAACTAATACATGGTCAAGCAATGACAGACTTGTGCTACACTTAAGCTCCTTTAAGGTTAGTTTCAAACACCTAAGGTAACAAAAAGATACTTCAAGAAAGGCTTATTTAATGAATCTCTGATAAAGGTAAAATTGTGGTATTGTTCTTGTATTAATGTTCAGGTAAATTCTACTGTTAGGTGTCAGACAGTGGGGAAAAAGTAAAAAATCAAATGATCACGTATTTTCCTTTATTTGACCTTCTTTAATGGAAATCTTTGTTGCAAGTTCTATATTGATATAATTCTTAATGAAAATTTATTTACTTTCCAATGGGTACTGCATGCTGATTAGGTGAGAAAGAATTACCTTCTTTCCTGCTATTTATAACACAGCTAATGATTTTCTTTGGGGTGAATAGCTTCTTATTTATCTTCAGATGCTTTCCTTGACAGGACAAAGTCAGAACAAAAAGGTCTTTATTGCTTCTTTTGCTACAAGGCAAAAATATGGGGCTGCTTCCTGTAAATGGTTCTACTCACCCAGGTATTCTCATACATATGGGTCATATTTTTCATATAAAGGGGGTTTCTTGTCATTTTGAAGTTTACAGTAAAAAGACTTATCCATTAATCAGTTACTTTCAATACTAGTGTATTTCTAAGAAGCATCTGGTTTAAAATAGCATAGCATTATTCTGGTTTTATTAATATGCCCTGATATGTAACTGCCCTTCCATTTGCAGTAGTTTCACTTCCAGAATAGCTGTGTTTTGGAAAAGGCTTAAAATCAGATGAATCATTCATTCCCCTGGGAAGCACCGTTCTGCAATAAGCTGCTGGCTCTTTGCCCCTTATACAGACATTTTCTAATACAGTCATTAGGACAGTTCCTATCCCTCTGTCATAATGCAAATTAATGAGTTCTTTTCAGTAACTTTACAAAGCCCATAAGACACGACATAGCAAATCCTTCCTGTTTTACTTAAATAGTGAGGTTTCAACCTCTTATACAGATTGGTGTTCGCAGGATCACACATGCAGAGGGGAAGTGTCAGCCTTACAAGTGATTTCTGTTGCAGAGTTTATTTGTCCTTTGTTAGAAAAGCAGTTGTTTGCTGAAAATCTGTGGAAATCTCAAGTATTTGGCGGAAAGAACTAATGTTTATTTCCCATAAGTGCAATGTATTATCCTGTTTCTCTTAACCAGTGTCATATACTAAAATTACAATGAACCCGTCTGCATTTAGCTTTTACATAAGAAAATATTTTCGTATTTGCCATATGGTTCTTCAAAAACTTCTGGTAACAGTAGCAGTGACACATTTGCAATGGGATGTCCAAGTGCAATTCCATTATATTAGAAAAAAAATCATGGGAACTTGAGACAGATTTAGCAGTAAAAGTGTGCTTACCTTCATATGTTCCACTTTCTAAGAGAGCACCACTTTTCTCCAATTCCATAAAATCTTCAACAGTGATGAAAATATAGTCCACACCAGGGACTTCCCCCTCCTTATGTGGCCTTGTGGTGCCTATTAATAAGACAAAAGACACAACACTGTCAAGCACATGAACTAAATGTAGAAGGATGTTTTTTAAAAGTTTTGGAAAATTTATGAAGTAAACCATTTCTAAAGCATATTATATATAGCACATTGTCCATGTGAGGATGTCTTTCAAAAGCATATAGGTATATTTGTTGAAGCTGATAGAAGTATATAAGATTCATGTTTAAGATCACTCTAGATGGTTTTTGGATCTATATTATTCTCACTAATGAAAATGTATGATACTAGTATTCTTTTTATGTTACTAGAAAGACATCAGGCATTCAGAGGTAACACAAATCTTTGCTGCGTATTTTTCATTGCCTCAAACAAATCTTGTCTACAATTAATCTGCTTCATGATCTTTTAAAAATTTATTTAGTACACAAAATAATAAATCTGTAAGTAAACCTATAACGGCTATATTCACATTGATTGTTTCAGTGCCACAAGTGGACTTGATAAATGGTGAGGCTTAAGGGACTGAGCAATTCAAATCACCTGGTTACGATGCTGTCAAGCTGCAAAGGTGCTTACGTTTAGTTACTGCCTCTATTGTCACCTCTGGATGACAAACTCCATAAATGCCAACAGACAATATTTCATGTATGCTGAGAAGTGACTCGGCTTAGTTAGCAAAAGTTGAGCTGTTAGCAGAGAAGCATCTGAATTTGACCTAATTTCTGAATGGTCTGGTTTATTGTGGTCAGGCTATCCCTACTTTGACTGAAATCACTAAATAAGTCTCAAAACTCCATTTGGAAAAGGGAGATTTTAATGTCCTCCTCACTCTCATGAGTGTTTGAAACATCTGAATAAATCAATTCTTTATCAATATCGTAGTGACCACATCACATTTGCAGGGTTTGGTTTCAAGATTGTTGACACTGGGAAGTAGTTATAAACCAGATCTTCCACTTCCAGGACAAAAGTTTAGCATTATTATGTTGTGCAAAAGACACTGTCTCTTCCTCAATTATTAATCCACCACCTAAAACACTGTATTGTGACTCTCACATTATGTAGTAGTGATTCAGACATCTCTTCAGGTCAGCTGACATAAAATTTATTTCATCTACTTTTTGATGTCTATTTTTCAGACATCTGCATTTAAGCCTCTTGAATAATTTTGTGTGAGATTAAGAAAATGAAGCACAATTGTCTATGTTTCTGCCATGTATATAAACTATTACAGTCAATGGAGATCTCATCAATGGTGGAAGCCAGAGAGCGATTCAGCTGCCTGCCTGCTAAGAGCTCAGTCCAGTTGGCCATACATAGGTCTCCATGGGATGCCTCAAATATTCATGTGAAGAAAGTGGATATGAAAGGACAAAATACTCTTTGCATTGTCCCCAATGCACAAAATTATACTTTGCATTGCCCAAAATGCAGTTTTCAACCTCACACAGAATCCCACTCCATAGCTACATCTAATGATGACTTCTGTGAAATGAAAAGAGCACATTAGAAGTGCAACGTTCCCTAAGTGACAATGACAGGACTCCCATGCTCTCAGTGATTCCTACTGGCCAGCTTTGCCAAAGCACTGGATGGCCTTCAGAGTTGGTCAAACTCCTTGTTGTCAGTGGAGAGATAAAGACATAATGGTGCCTTAGGCTTTCTGGACTGCTTGTCATAAACAACTTTCTGTCCCCTTAGACTGAATGATCCTGAGAAGCTATTTCAGTTGCTAACATCAGGAATATGTTTTGCTAAATCTGTAAGGTGCTTTCCCTAATTTGTATGATTCTAATTCCCGTTTCATGTCAACATTTTAAATTAAAATTCATCTTATTTGGCTGTTTATTTCTGGGAATTTCATATTTGAAGAAATGTGTTTGTTAGGATTATTACTATTGTGTTATGGTAAGGTATATGGTATTTAACCATACCAGGAATGGTATGGTTAAAGCACTCAGACACTTGGATTGTTCATAAATATGTTGAATTTACCTCCCATGGAATATCTGAGCCCTGGGGATGCAGCAGCATCCTCAGAGATCTCCAGACCTTTGTGAAAACTGTGCAGAAGCACAGGGATTCTGGCAAGCCCCTGAGGTCCTGGGAGCTCTGCTAACAGCACATGCATCAGATGTTTGATCTCCATGCTCTCTCCTGAGGAATTTTTCACTCCTAAATTCATTGGCAGGAACTGTATTTTCCTCATAAAACACTTTGGCAAATCAAGGCTATATATTATTCCTGGACATGGAAAAGGGAAGATGCTGGCATATTAGACAAGTACCTCTAGCTTAGTATTTCTTCAATAATTTTTTATGTTGCCAAACTAGATTCCCAGAAGTTTAACATTCAGAAGAAAAAAAAAAAAAAAAGAACAACAACAACAAAACAAACAAACAAAACAAAAAAAAACCCAAGTGATATGAAATGTGGAGGTAATCCCTGCTTTGAGTGGAAAGTTGGATCTGAATGAGCTCCCTCTCATTCTGTATTTTCAACGATTCTATGAGATTAAGTTTTAATGCACTGCAGTTTGTTTTTAGCACATGGATATTCAGCAATTGTATTCAGCAGGGATGACTGCAAAGTCTCAGAAGAGGTCCAACAAAAGACTCAGTTATCCCTGTGTTTCTCTACTTTGGTCACAGTCTTTGGTCAACTTGTCTAGAAAAGTGTAATGGACTAAATTTTAGATTCTGAGTCTCTCAAATTGGAAGCTAAAGACCTGGGCTTTCTGCCCTTATGTGACTTAAGTCAAGTTATTTTGGATATGGTACATATATGATAATGTTTGCATATGCCCTGCACTGTGAATTGAATATTCAGTCTAATTTGCTTCCCCCATATAAAGTGAAATGCATGGTCCAGTTATAGACCATAAGGATTCTGTATCCTTAATACACAGTTTAGCCTTCTGTCTCTTCTCCAGTTGAATTGCTATATACCTATCCCCATGTGTAAGGTAGCCATGAGATGCCCTGTATTTAGAGCTGCAGATGTTATCATTCTCTTGTTCGATAACACTCCAAGGTTTCACATAGCTCCTATTTTGCTTCAGGATAAAACTATTGGATTTTTGTGTCAAAGCCAAAAGACTCAGAATGCCACTTTAGAATTGCCAGTGTGCTACTGTATGCGGCAGCTTCTTAAGTCAGTCTCCCTGAATCTCAGTTTCCCACTATTTTGCCCAGGTGACTAAATAGCTACTGGTAATTCTACAATATGTTTTCTTTTCTCCATTTCTCTTGCACCTATCTTTCACTAGGTATTCCAGCATGGAGATGAGAAATCCTTTCTCCTGAAAGCTGAATTAAAATGCATAAACTACATAAATGAATATTTTTAAGGAAAAGCAGGTTTTCTAGAATATTTCTTGCCAGTTCTACTTGTACTTGCTGTCTGTCCCACAGTGCCAGGAGACAATACTATTACTCAGGTGGTAAATGTAAGATTCCACCCTCTTTTTTTTATAATCCTTAGGGACTCTGCTCAAGAGCTTGTATTGTATGCTGAGGGTTATACTCCTATAAGACGTTAACTACTCACTTCCTTCAAAAAACAGAGAAAAGAGCAAACCATGATCATTGGAGTTGCATGTGTTCAGCGTGACTCTTACCTCAGGTACAGCAGTTTCCATCCCTACCAGAACTTTATTGCTCTTGATAAAATCTTACCGAGTCCCATTTCCCTCCTGCATCTGTTCTCATTTCCTCAGCCTGGAGGACCTGAGATCTTGCAAATGGTTAAAGTAATTCCCCAGCTAATGGAAAAATCAATAGTTGTTGCCTCTTTTACTCCTTCACCCTGGAGGAACTGACTTGCTTCTATTAATACTTCTGCTGTCCTTTATACCTTTCTGTAAGCACCACAGTGTTAGCAATGTGCAGGTTTACAGACTTGGAGGCAGTTATTGGAGCATCTTTAACACCCATCAAGGTCTGAACACTGAGGTCTATAAACAGGAAACTTACAGACCATAGGCATTTTTTCCTTGCTTTTAAACTAATGCAGAGTTACTGTTCTTAATAGATTTTGTCTTTAACTATAATCTCATAGTACAGCTATGGTGACTCAAGACTTAAAACAAAGGATTAATTCTAAGCCTCATATTTTTTCAGAAACACACCTCTTGTTTCACAGCATAGAGGCTTAATACGAACACTTGCTACTGCTTATAATATTTAGCCTTTTGTTAATGTAAAGTGAAAATAGGAACCCAGTTATCATTTTGTTACCATGGTAACGTATGAAAAAATAATCTTTGAACTCCATAATGAAAGAACATGATACTTTCAGATCATGCAGGATCAAAACCAGCAAGGGATATTTTCACTATAAATATTTATGACAAATGCAATCTATTGTTGCTGTTGAACAGAAGACACAAAAGCAGCAGCTTGCAAGTAACCATGGCCAGTCTATACAAGCAAGTCTGCCACACAATGTGTAGGTGCCTTAGAAATTACAGGAACTTGGTCTACAAAATCTGGGCTGATACTGGCCTTGGATTTCATGAGCACTGCTTGCATTGTACAGTTTAGAGATATTTAAGTTATGTGGTAAACCTTTTTTTTAAAAGACCCTTTGCCTTGCAGCTTGTTTCTTGTGTTCTACAGGGGAAACATGGTTATTCACCATACTTCAGGCTTTCCTTGATCAATGTTCTGTTGTCTGATGGTGTCATGGTTCTGGAGAGGAATTAGGAGCTGTTTACATAAATAGCCTTTGAAAGAGCATTTTTCTTTTAACTGAGTATAAGACACCTGAGGGTATAAACAGATAGGAGAACAACTGGGAATTTAAAGACTCTTTTTAAATCTCATCCTTCAAGTGCGTAATTATAACGTATTACTACTTATTTGGGAACAAGGTGCTCAGTTTGACTTTGAAAATGTTTCTATTTAGAAACACTGAGTATTCACAGACTCTGTTCAGCTCTGCTGCTTTAAAAAGCAGGAAAAGTGCTGATTCTTTCTTTTATTGAAGTGTTTCTTTATTGAAACTCTTTCCATCTAGTTACA